GAGGGGTGTACATTTTATTGGAAACCTTAAATACTGTTCAGAAAGAATATATCTTCAATCAAGGCTCTTGTGCAGCCTACACAGAAAAATGAAGCTTTTTGGGTTAGGGGCAAGGAGAGAGACAGTACAGAGGACAAAGACCCCTCACGATGAATGCTCTTCAGCCAGCTTATCAGCTTTTGCCACAGCTTCTTCAATGGGTCCCACCATATAGAAGGCCTGTTCTGGGAGATGGTCATATTCACCTGCCAAAATCTGCTGGAATCCTTTGATGGTCTCCTTCAGGGGTACCAGCTTCCCCATATGACCTGTGAAGACCTCAGCAACCTGGAATGGCTGAGACAAGAAACGCTGTATTTTCCGTGCACGGGACACGGTCAACTTGTCTTCCTCAGAAAGTTCATCCATACCCAGGATGGCAATGATATCCTGGAGGGATTTGTAGTCCTGCAGGATCTTTTGCACCCCACGGGCAACATCGTAATGCTCACTGCCAACAATGTTGGGATCCATGATACGAGAGGTGGAGTCTAGAGGATCCACAGCTGGATAGATGCCCAGCTCAGCAATGGCACGCGACAGTACAGTGGTAGCATCCAAATGGGCAAACGTAGTAGCAGGGGCAGGGTCAGTCAAGTCATCAGCAGGCACATAGATAGCCTGTACAGAGGTGATAGATCCCTTCTTGGTAGTGGTAATTCTTTCCTGCATAGTACCCATGTCAGTGGCCAGGGTAGGCTGATAGCCCACAGCAGAAGGGATTCGGCCCAATAATGCAGACACCTCTGAACCAGCCTGGGTGAAGCGAAAGATGTTATCAATAAATAGCAGTACATCTTGACCTTCTTGGTCTCTGAAGTATTCAGCCACAGTCAGCCCAGTCAGAGCTACCCGGGCACGAGCACCAGGTGGTTCATTCATTTGACCATATACCAGCGCTACCTTAGAGGTGGCATCTTTTAAGTTGATAACACCAGATTCAATCATTTCATGGTATAAATCATTGCCTTCACGGGTCCTCTCACCAACACCAGCAAACACAGAGTAACCACCATGGGCTTTGGCGACATTGTTGATTAACTCCATGATCAGTACAGTCTTGCCAACTCCAGCACCACCAAAAAGCCCAATTTTGCCACCCTTGGCATAGGGAGCTAGCAGATCGACAACCTTGATACCAGTCACCAGAATTTCCTGCTCAACACTCATTTCCATGAACTCTGGAGCCTCAGCATGAATGGGAGCAAATTGTTTGGTTTTGATGGGACCTCTTTCATCAATAGGTTCTCCAATGACATTCATGATTCTGCCCAAAGTCTCAGGACCAACAGGAATTTTGATTGGTGCACCAGAATCCAGTACTTTCTGGCCTCTAACCAAGCCTTCTGTACCATCCATAGCAATAGTCCTTACTGTGCTCTCACCCAAATGCTGGGCCACCTCCAAAACCAGTCTGGTCTCCCTGCCTTGCACTTCCAGGGCATTTAGAATTGGTGGTAGTCCCTCATCAAACTGGACGTCCACCACTGCGCCAATGACCGCCACGATGCGCCCGGTGGCGGCGCCTGCTTTTGGCGAAGGAGATGTTTGCGCCGCATAGTCCCTGACAGGATGGACCGCCGTCGGAGCGGCCCGCAGTAAGAGCTGAGCTGGGGGCAGCGACGCTGAAGGGGTGAGTCTCCGCAAGGCCCCGGAGGCCGGAGCAGCGGCCACCCGACCCACAAACCCCAACATGGCGTAGT